AACAGACTGGAGTCTACAATGACGTATATTGTTTGCAAAGGCAAATGGAGAGATGGTACACGACTAGAATATAGGAAGTCTAATCTCTGATACTAACCGGGCGATAGTTAAGGATGAGGAGGTTAGAGATTTTTCTGTGTACAGCTGTGTCTCTTTTGTGTACGGCTGTGTCTACACGACAGTAACCCCCTTCCCAATATTCCTCAAAATATAATTAAGAATATCTTTAATGTGCAATTTCTAGACATATTCTTGGCGAATTATCCCTCAAGCAGCCCCCCGACCCATACGTTCTGGTCTTTCCCTAACAATTTATGTTAGTCATAACAGGAAACATGTTAAGATATATCAAGACATATCATGCCACTTTAAAATATACTAGTAGTCAAAACTTCTCAAAAAGACCACTCAGGGGACCGATGAAGTATGGTCTATGTGGACAGGTGGTCACTATAGACAGGACTTATAATGCCTTTGTCCTTAGGAAAATTATCCAAGGGACCCCAAAAAAGTAGTCACATTGGTCAGGTGGTCTTTTGTATACATATTAAAGAGGTGGTCACTTGTACAGGTTTTGACAATACAAATTACAACTTACAGCAGTATCTTCAATGCAGTATTCATCCATGTAATGTCACCGGCATAGTTACATAATGTCTTATTGTTCAGCTCTTAAACAAACATAAACCTTACCTTATCAGTCTAGCCTTGACTCGAGGTAAACAACGTAGGCCAAGAGCGTTCCGGTAAAAAGAGAGCTTTACCAAACTTGTTCCAGACAGTCTAACATAACATGCTCTTTGCTGTAACGTTAGAAATCTCGGCCGAATGTTGGCGAAAGTTGTTGTACCACTTCCGCTATTCTCACCCCGTGAAACGTCGGCTGAGAGCCAGAGAGCTTTTGTTTGGGGAGTTGTGTGTTGTGTCAGAGGTTAAAGGTGTTTCCTGTTAGTCTGTGCAAGTCGTCATGACGTCATTGGTCCTTCTGATGGTCTGTTCAAGGAGCGCAAAGAAGCGTAAACGCATCGCTGATTTTCTCTCCCACTTTAAGCTGATGACATGCAAATGTATTTATATATCACTGTGTTCTTATCTCATTTCTAGCTGATTACATGCAAATGTAAATATATCGCTGTTTTCTCTCTCTTTTTAGCAGATCACATACAAATGTATGTATAGCGATATTTTCTCTCTTTTTTAGAGATCACTCAAACTCTCATTGAGTTCAAGTATAGCTGCGCACAGTCAAAACAATAGATAGGGACAAAGGCGAAACCTTATTTTCCCATGCTTTCTACTCTTTAAGTACAGGGGCTAGTTCATTAGCAAGTAAGGGGGTGGGGAGGCAGGGGAAAGCCATGATGATGATATTGGGAACATAAAACGTCTAGCTTTCGTAACTTTCTTTAATTGCAAATGCATATAATTCCATGATAATTCCAAGTACATTTAAATTTATAGTATGACACAGCCGCATTGCCACATTAGACACAGCCGCATCGCACTAGTAGCTACTTCAAAAAGCATCATGCTTCACTACAGTTGAAGATGACTGCTTAAAAAAGGTCTGCATGGGGGTAACGGTTGACGATTAATTCAACAGGGCCGACAACGATTAACGGTAAATTCAGGGCGGTCGGCAACGATTAACGGTAAATTGAACGGGCTGTACCGATGACACTTAATTAACGGTGAATCAGAATAGCCCATAACGGTTAACGGAAAATGGCATGCAGGCCCATAGACACATAGTGTACAAGTCCATTAGAGATTAGGCACATAGTGTGTTCATCATAACATCCTTGAAACGTGTGTTTTACATGTCTTTAACGTATGTTATGTTTTGCTCTTGCCCTTTGCGTCTTTGCCTTTAAAGTCTTTAAACCTCGTCAATTTCCCACTGCCTGCAGGGCTACCTTTATCCGCTAGGTGCGTCTGTTCACATTTATCTATAACATGTCTGATGATGCCGAGTTTGTCATAACGCCGGCTGATGGCATAATCCACGGAAAAATTTCTGATCTCATTCTTAAGATCGTCGTTAGGGTAGTAGTGATAACTGACGTTTCTTCCATTCGCGTCTTTAAGAAATGGGTAGAATCCGTAAAGACTGATTCGTGTGCAGAAAGTCAACGCCGTGTAGAGTGCCAACATTCCGGTCGTTTCCAGGTCAACCTTGCCCAACTGTTGAGCCAAGTCCGGCATTGTTGCTTTTACGGTGCTGAAAAGAATATAAAGAACGTATGGGTATATACAGTATCATATCATATCATATCATATCATATCACAAGACAAAGGTTCAACATATAGGGACAAGAAATTGGAGATTTCAGAACTCCGGGAAGCGTTTTGAGGTTTTGTGATACATGAATGTATTGAAACTGTGGAGGGGTCGTATGGTGTAATTCAATCTGGTATTACATAATCGGGAATTACACCGCTTCCTGAATTCCTCCACATATTGACCACTTACTCCCTTGCTATCAATCAACTGTCAAAATCACCTCCCACCCACCATGCAACCGAAACTACTATGATAAACAGAGACACAAGCCTACACCTTTGCCATCCAATACTTTTTTTTTAGAAAATTCCTTAAATCACATTTTTATCACTTACCAGTAACTTGAGGAACTGATTTTTTTCTATACTCACTTTCTGATGGTAAATGCAGGGCTGACAATGTTCTTCATCAGCGTAAATGCCAGTTTGTGTTTTCTTGCAATTTTGATCAGACATTCTATATCATCCATCCATTCTCTTCTCTTGCCTCTGGCAAATACGAGGATTGAAGCGTTCATATGTTTCAGTCTTGGAGAGTAGACATCTTTAGAACCACGCTGGTACAGAGACTGGTTCATTTTGAGAAGAATGTCCTTGTTTAAAAATGTGACGTTTCTCTTGCTGCCGACATCATGTTCGTAACCGACCGTTGGAGCGACGCTGAACCTGATGACGTAATCATGCGCGTCAATCTCACCACCGCAAAGGCTGCCGGTCAGGATCCCGCTGTTGCCGACGAGTGCGCATGTCTGGTAGTGACGTATGGTGTTATGGTCTTCCAGTTTGCACGTTTGGTGACCTTTGACTTCTTTCCGGCACATTAAGATTTGTTTGGAGCTCGGTATAATTTCTCTGTTGTCCATTCCATGCGGAGGGTACAGACTATCAACTAGTTTAGTATCAACCAGTTTCCTGAAATGGTGACCATGAGGGGTAAAAATCAATGGACTTATCCTATTTTGTAAACAAAAATAAACTTTCTATTTTGTTAATGTTAAATATTCTCACCGTTTAATACATGTTTTGTCCTTTGCACTTTCATAATAGATGCAGGAAATTATATAATAATCGGATTTTTCAGCCTTACGGGGAGTATTTCAGGTCAATCCACCAACGTGCTTTCAACCTACTTTGTCCGGAAGAACAGACACACAAACCTACAGCTCAGCCACCCAAAACAATACTTCCTATCAGGACATTTTCCTTACCTAATTTCTTTCAGTGCTCCACTGTTGATCGGCCAGTTGTTCCAAGTTGAAGACGAAGTCTTTGCATACCTCTTGCCAATGTTGGTTAGATTGAAGTATTTCTCTACAATTTTCACTGATACATTCCCATTCGCTGAAGCCATCCTTGCTCCTAGCCTATATATGAAGACCGGAATTTCAATACCTTTTTGGAAATTAAAGGCAATTTTACCACATAAAAATGGATAGTTTGTCTTTTCCTCACCGGATTAAAATCTGGAGGCATGATGATGATGATGATTGTTTATTTTCAGTAAAAGCAATGTTTTAACCAAATAAATAAGAGATCAGGCAAACCTTTTAACGAGTCTCCTTGCATTGCTGAATGACCTCTTTTCTTTTGGTAGGATTATTCCTGGCTTCCGTAGGACAATACTGCAAAGAAGATTAAAAATCTGTTAATAACTTTAGAAAGAATAGACAAATTTAGAAAGAATAGACACATTTGGAAAGATTAGACACATTTAGAAAGATTAGACACATTTAGAAAGAATAGACACGTTTAGAAAGAATAGACACATTTAGAAAGAATAGACCCATTTAGAAAGAATAGACACATGCAACTATTTGAGCTTATACGTTGAGAGGGGGGAGGGGATGTACCTGATATTATCACGGCTTCCGAGATAAAATCTCCCGTCATTCATTGCGTCTGACCAGACAGTGTCGAGTGGACTCCAGCCGTCTGCCGGATCAGACTCATCTTCTACTTCGTACTCCTCCAAGTCTAGGCTTGAGCTGAAAAAAATATTTCAAAAAATAAATTATTAATATAAAACTGGAAATCTAGAAACTTTTGCAGTATGGATATTATGTAAGTCGAAGTCCCTGAGACGTATTTAAAACATGTTAAGACCTTCATCTTTGGCACATTACCCACAATTCATCTCACTGCGCATGCGCAACTGGAACTATGAATCCGTGCTTTTGGGGTGATGTTTACAATGTACATATTCTACGAGTTAGAATACTTAATTTCAGAAAAAACTAAAAACATCACTGAAAATTTGTAATTTCAACGCTGAATCTTACCTGATATTTCGCTGCTCTTTCCAGTTGTTGGTCATGACTAGGAAAGCGAGTCCTATAACAATAAACCCCAAGAGGAGCCTCCACACACTCTTGGCCCCTCTCGGTCGCCATTTTTGGAAAAACCTTGAGAGAATCATCTTAACAGGTCACCTGTGAACAATTTGTGTCATGAAATAACAAAACCATCATAGACATATCTTCATATCTGGCAAGAGTTGTACGAGAAAACGATTTTAGTTCAAACTAAGATGGTTTCTACATGTGTAAGTTACAACATTTGATACTTGGAGGCATTTTTTTGCCACTTCATAGAGAGAAACAAAATATTTTCTTACCTGTGTATGTTGTTAGCGCGCATGCTCTTGAGAACACCGTGCCAGCATCTGGTCGGACCGGTCTTTTGATTGGATAATTCCTCAGGGCGGAGTCTCGGAGACAAAAGAGTACCGATCATCTTACTTCCGAAGGGAATCCTTCTGCATGTTATTATCTGAAGTAGTCTACCGTCAATGTTTTCAAAATGTAAAACAAAATCATGGAACTGGAAGTGGTAACGTACCGGCGACTGAAGAGGGCATATACTGTGAATGTAAAACGCGGCAAGTCAGCTCCACCATCAGTACACTACATACAGGGCTACCGAGAATTCGAAAACCATTCAACCAATCAGAGCGCCCGAAGGAATTCACCTGTCGTTCTCGACCTGTTTTACAAGCTCTGTTGTCATTCGTGCAGCATAGGTCACAACTCTACAAAACGTTTTCACGGGGCTTCAGCTCAATCAATCCTTGTCAGGAATGCGCATGCCCTTGCTCCTTTACTTCAGGTATGTGAGTGTTTGCTTAAACAATTCATTCTTTGGAAGAGGTGGCAATGTTTCTTACATTCGTGGCATTTCAAGCATGTTTCTTGTTAGATCACAATTCGGATGTCAGTAGCAGTAGAAATTTTTGTATTAATATAACGCCAACAGTCTGCACTCTTCTAATTGTTTCAGCTTCCTTAAAAGCAGTATTTTCGCCATAAACATTATTTTGACGGTTATTCTTGGACTAAAACCAAAAATAAGCTTCAATTCTTGTACAAGTGGCGGCCATAGTTACAAGGGACGTATTGGAACATCTTGATTGACAGATAGGGCTTAACATGCAATTAAGAATTCAATTTAAATATATAGGACCAAAAGTAGCTCAACTTCAGGCGCATGCTTTGTTGCGTAGCTTAAGCATCACAAGTTGCTGTTGCAAAATTGTAGGTATGTCAAAATAGTACATGTATCTACAAGCGAAATTGCTAAGTTGCTTCATTTGTGCCTTAATTGAATCTTTACTGACTTCGTCCATGTTATAAGTATTCACCATGTTTGTAGCTCAACTGTGTCTTTTTCGGCATTATGGAGTAGTGACTTCTTCACAATATTCATGTTTGGGTCTGGTGCATAACTTGATATATATCTACTAACACGACAAACAGATTGGATTGAATATAGGTCAGATATATGTGTACAATTATGTGTCGGTGTGTGAGAACTAATCAGGTGTAAAATTACAGTCGCCTGTTTTTACGTCACAGTCCCTATTATACCCCTGTCATTATGCTGGTCAATGACCTCGAAGTCACATAGCCATAGTAGTTTAAAAGCGCCGCCGGCGGATCTTTGCAGTATGACAGAATTGGGTCACCAAGATGACCAGTCCATTGGAGGGAGAGAAGGAGAGAGAGGGAGAGATAGAGGGGAGAGAGAGAGAGAGAAAGAGAGAGAGAATTTTGTTGTAAATCTTTCAGAAGAACCAATCTATCACATTACGGTGGCCATAACTTGATAAATTGGAATAGTCCCTAATTACAAAAGGTCAGACACAGGATGTTAGGTCCCATCAGTCGGCTAGCAGCCAGCAGGAAGTCTGTTCCTTTTAGTGGAAAAAAATCATAGAGAGGTAGAAATATAAAGTAATGAATTAGATACTAGTATATACGTACTAGTATGTCACGGAGGTATGAAATCCCCGACTTCTTGTTGCAATTTGTTTTCTCCCCCATCCTAAACAAACATGTACCTGTACATTACCCAGGTGGTCTACTCCCATGAGGCGCCTGCGCGGTACGCTGACTTTGGTCTTGGTCTCAACTTTGACCTTTCTGTTCTTCGCGTTCGTGTACCTCAGTTGGAACTGTTCTCGGAATGCGAGGTACTTGAAGATATTTTTTGTTTCGTATATTTCATATATCTTTATTTGTTTTATGAAAAGGATAGCATCATTAGCAACGTATAAACGGGTTTATTGCGCTTGGCTTCTATTTAGATTGATGTCTCTCAAAAAAGTTGGAGTCAGCAGTGTCCAGCGGCGTGCCTTGATGGAGGAGGATGTCAGCTTGATGGCAGCCATTAGTGACGTCATCTTGCCATCTGCGCATGCGCCAAACAACAGGAGCTACTACACTGCCTCCCAAAAAGGAAAAACCAACACAAGCAGACCTTTTCCTGCTAACTACAGATTCGAAAAGATTGATAAGTGGAGCACGTGGGACATCTGGTTTATAGACGAACAAGTCTTGAGGAAATTCAGGTAAGACAAATGAACGCCAGTGTATCATAACCAACCTCGTTTTCGGGCAAGCTCACGCGCAGTCTCGCCGGCTATGTTCTCGCGGGAGTACATTTCAAAATGGCGGCTGTAATTGGAATGTGTTACCTACACAATGTGTTGTACTGTGAAGTAGTTTTAAACGTACATATTGCAGCTGATCGTGCTGTGCAGTACAGTATCAAAACTGTTCAACAGATTCATGTTTTTACGTCTGTAAGAAAGTTTGCTTTTATTTTAGATAAAGTTAAATTGATGTTTTGTTCTTTGATATTTTAGGACACTCTCTCGTGCTCTACTTCCAAAGGGCGGGATGGCCAAGAATGAAATAAGGTGGGACTCGACTAAAGTCCACAAATGTGTCAGGAAAGCAAAAGGTGGCTCAACATGCAAGCTAGACGACAAAAACACCATACGTCACTACAACACATGCGCAATCGTCGGCAAAAGCGGCATCCTGACCGGCAGCCTTTGCGGTGGTGAGATTGACGCGCATGATTACGTCATCAGGTTCAGCGTCGCTCCAACGGTTGGTTACGAACATGACGTCGGCAGCAAGAGAGACATCACGTTTTTAAATAAGGACGTTCTTCTTAAAATAAGCAAATCCCTGCGTTTGCCGGATCCCAGAAATCTCTATACGCAGCGTCTGAAGAGTATGAACGCTTCAATCCTCATGTTTGATAAAGGAAAGACCAAAGAATGGAACGCAGACATGAAAAGTCTCATCACGATAGCCAGGAAAAATAAACTTTGCTTCACTCTTAGAAAGAATACCAAAAATCTCGGAATCATAATTAGAGGGTGAGTATCCACTCCACCTATTTGTGACTTTGTTTATAAAAAATATAAGTTTGTAAATTTTGCCTTAATTCAACATCCTTAGTATCTCGCTGACTCTGTCTATGTATTTCCAACTTGCCTCCATAAGGTAATATACATGCAAATGAAATAACCTTTTCTGGGAACTTTCTGGGACCTTTGACCTAACTTCCTGTCATTTCCCTAGATGTGCTTAGCATGTGAAAATGGATACGGAATCACAAGCAAACAAACACACAAACGCGTTGAACACAACCTCCACAGTCCACATACGAAGGTAAATAACTCTAAACTTGTCTAAGACTTACCTTTAATAATGCTTGGAATGTATACCTTGTTTTTCAGTATCATCAGCCAAGAAATGCCTGACTTGGCCCGGCATCTCGTAGGAGGAGTGGACACGACCGGAATGTTGTCTGTCTTCATGGCTTCCACCTTCTGTCGCAGAATAAACCTTTACGGCTTCTATCCTTTTTCCAAAGACACTCACGGCAAAGGCATCCGCTATCACTACTACGACAACGTCAAACCGAAACGTAAGGATGACTTCCCGGTGGAGTATATGGTTAGCAAACGTCTGCACAGCCTGAGGGTAGTCAATCATGTCATTGATAAGTGTCGATAAGGGCCACCTAGCGTCAGGAAGGTTTACTGCAATCTTGCCTTCATAGATGCGGTGGTCTGTCGGTTAGTGTTCCTACTTCTGGGCCATAGGGTCAGAGGCTCCATCCTACCCGGTGGAGTATATGGTTAGCAAATGTCTGCACAACCAGAGGATAGTGAATTATGTCATTGATAAGTGAGGATAAGCGCCACCAAGCGGCGGCACTGTTTACTGCAATCTTGCCTTCAGGGAGAATGTTCAGGGATGCTGTGGTTTATAGGTTAGCGATCCTACGTCTGGGCCGTAAGGTCAGTTGTTCCATCTAAACTTTGAAGTCCTTTGATGAAGGCCGTCTTAACATATCTATAGCTCACGATAAATTCATCAGGAGTTCTAAACTTCGCTTTGGATAGACAGGGTAACGGCTATAGCTACATTAGAACATTCTTGGTCTTATTGAGTGTTATAGTGCTATATTTAGTAATAAAGTTATTATTAGTTCAGAAGGCATCCTCGTTTATTGAACGATTTTATGCGCAGTTTTTCTTTTAATTCTATTAATGGGTGTCGTTGATATTCTAGCTGTATTTATACATCTTATTATGTTGCGTATTTCGGAGATACAAGAATGAAATGAACAATTCTGACTGTGAATCTGACTTATGTGTTATATCTCTGTAATTAAGCCAGTTTGCAATAGAAATCAAATACAAATCAGTAAAGCGGAACCTATAATCATGCACAGTGTGATGCATTGTGGGTAATAGGTCAAATTTGAAGGCCTCTGAGACCAGAACTGTTTACAAGTTTGGGGCGATCACCTTTTATTTCACGCATGCGCAGCTCAAACCGGGAACCGGTTTATTGCTAGAAATTTGGATATTCACTGACAGTAATTAGGGTCAAAGAACGATAACAAGACAATACAATTTTCTTCAATAATGGCTAGCAGTGGGCTCACCTTGATAGACCCTTCTCTTGTTGGATATTGGCGGCCATGACATCTATTGCTACTGCTTTCTTGTGGCTACATCTTGGAATAGTCCTTTCTTTGCTCGCTTCTATACTTTGAAAGGCACCATTGTCATCATGGAGTGGCTTCAGAACTGTTCTTCGGTGTAATAAGAAATCACAAGTTTCTATACGCGAAGCTGTCATGTGCATGTCTGTTTGGACCAACCCACCAGAGATCAACAAAATGTAAGACGGAGCGTGATTGGCTGGTAGCTAATTGACCTGCATTCTTCGCGAGATTTGGACAGCTGGTATCTGAAGCAATTGAAACGACAATCTAATTAGCTTGTTAATTAAAAGCATATTACCCATAATGAGTCACAGTTCGTCAAACTAGGTTATTGTCGCTAGGCTGTTCATACCTGAACCTCTGAGATCTTATTCTTCAGTGTACATGTATATGATTACTTTACTTACATGGGACACATAAAATGACAGAATCCTTATTCGAAGACAACACAGACTTTATTACATGTTGTACACGCTTGATGTTACATGCCGTCACCAACCTGGTCGAGCGCTGGCAATAACAACAAAGCTAATCTCAATTTTACCATACTCAGATGGAAAATGAAGACGCTCAAATAACCCCTATATTCCCGGACAGTCCCTCCAAAAATCCCTCACACTAACGCTAAGGTTAACTTAACTGAACCGTATCAAAACTCACCAATAAGACTATGCCGTAAAGTACATGTACAGTAATGTCGCAAAAAAACGTTAATTTTACACATTCCAAAATGAACATTACAGCTAATTTTTTTTTGTATGTGTGGCTTGCCGTAGTGTAGAGTTACTTGTAGGATCTTAAATAAATGACGAACGAGTGGTTGCGACTTGCTTCGGGTGACGACGTCACTGGTTGGCAGGAAGTGACGTCATGATGATGTCAACACTGGCAGGAAGTGACGTCAGAGATGATCTACCCAATAGCTGTGTTTGGTGTTTCCACCCTCGATGTTAATCTCTCATCAGTTCAGCCTTTGAACGGCGCATAAGATTTATAAATTCTAAAAGGCAAATAGAAACATTCAAATGAATATAATGTTACGTAAACATATGTGGTTGAATATGATTCGCTCTAATATAACGATTTCCAAACGACAACGTAAGACAAACTCGAGACAATAGCCGACTAACTTACGAAACATTGAAGTACGTTCTTCACGGATACATTAAAACGAGATTGATAAAACTTTACTCCATTCATACACTATTCACTTTAATACATACAAAGCACACACAGCAATGAGAGGTAATCGACGAAAAAGTCAGTAAAATTGGACTTATTAACAGGTCAATTATTCAATTATTATTCAACAGTTCCTTCGGTGAAACTTCGTAACAGACGGATCTAGAACGTATAAAACACACGGGCTATCTCTAACTCCAGATTAGTGGTAAGATATACGTATACATCTCATATACATGTATATCAATTCAAACAAACTAACGGAACGGACTTGTCAAACGTTGAACAAATAGTGGGTGACGAAATCGATTTAAAAAATCATCATCGACAACGATAGACAGAAAAAAACAGACCAAAAACAATTTTGGGGAAAAACAGAGCGATGCTTTGTGGGTCATATTCGCGTAGGAAGTTAGATAAAGATTAACTTTTTCGGATCGAGGGGGAAGCTAGCATGATGTTTTCTAATTTTCTAAAAACTCTCTTGCATGCAGGGGGTTACCAAGATAAAGAAAGAGCGTTTCCGAGAGTTCAAATTTCAGCCTTTTCGTGGCTAGCCCCCATTGCTACGAACTTGTAGAAAAGATGGCGATTGTGAAGAACTTGTCGTGAGTTTAGCGACAGATTTGAATTGAGGTTAAAGAAGCAGAAAGATGACAGCAGATTTCGTTCACGACAACCCATAATAGTCACCTTCTGTAAGGACAGTTGGACCACGTTAAATTTCCTTCAATGCGTTCTTCGACTTCCGGATGAGATCCATAAACTCTGTTCACAGAGGACAAAACGAACATGCCATGAAGGTCACAAAAACATGCTCATGCTACCCTCCTGGCATGGGGAAGGGGGGCATGTTCACGTGACCATCACGTGATATTTCACGTGACCATCACATGACAAAAGCTGTTGGCTGAGGAGAGTGCTGCCACCCGACATGCACCAGTGCAACCCGCGAAAATGTCTGTTCCTATCCCTCACACCTGTTTACTCTGCTTGACCACAGTGATGAAAAGAAGAGAAGAGAGTAGAAAAAAGGAATGGTGCGTTTGGCGTCAGTAGTACCTGTGAATCCTGTGGACTAACTTAAGCCTCCTTCAGCGCATTCTTGGACTTTTTGATCAGGTCCATGAACTCTGTAGACAGAACATAAGGTTATGGAAGCTATCCTTCTTCCCATCTGTTAGTGCAGGGGAAAGTACGTCCGGTTTGGTGCAGTTCTAGATGAATCCAGCGGGGTGATGATGATGATGAAATGTATGATCGTCATGGATTAATTCTGGTGGTTTTGTAAGGGTGAGGAGAGGCGTAAGTGAAAAACGAAAGTCGAAAATAGATATAAAAGGGTGGAAGTGGAAGATGGATAGGAGTGGAGGACAGAAAATCTGCCAGAGAAGGTTTTTTTATGAGGTAAAAGGCAGCTCTGGGCTGAGGCATTGAGGGTTAGATGTTAATGAGCACATGAAACATGAACAGGAGCAAAACAACAGAAACGACGAGAAATACAGACAGAATTCCATTAATAGAAAGTGACAGAAAAAGTGACAAAAGTGAATGATTCTAGAAATAGGAGATATGTTGTGGAAGTGGTGTCCATGTTGTGATGGATTGTGTATGAAGATGCTGATGACATGCGAAATCATAAATTGTATCATCTCGTGCAGTTCGCCAGGTGGCGTCCGTGAGTGGTTGCTGCCAAGAATAAAAACAACTGGAAGCAACTGGAAGCAACCCAACTTTAAATGATACTCAAGAAAAGAAATATTGGCAAAAACATTTATGATAAGCACATATCCTTTACATGCCTCTGAAAAATAAAAATGTGCATATAAACAAGCGTACAGGTTCTCTATATAACACCATATTCATGCTAATCTTACTTCATATGTGTATCATAATCATTGTTGACAAGAAAATAACATGACCCATGCATTGATATATTTAATAGAGTATGTGTGACTTTGTGATTGTGTAGGTGGGTGTCCGTTTGGTTGGTCAGGGGGTAGGTGGGTGATTGTTGTGGGTGGGTGTTTGTTGGGTGGGTCAGGGAATGGGTGGGTGTGTAACTGGTTGATTGCGTGGGTGGGTGTCCGTTGAATGAGCTGGGGGGTGGGTGGGTGTCCGTACCGGGGATATCGATGACACCGTTGCCGTCCTCGTCGGCTTCCTTCATTGCCTCCTCTACCTCGGCGTCTGTCAGTGGCTCCTCGCCGACCTTCTGCATGATGAACTTGAACTCGTCGAAGTCGATCACACCGTCACCGTTGGCGTCGAAAACCTGGGTGGTAGGGCGGACTGGGTGAGTTCTACCGGCCAATACAAGGGATGGCCTTCAAATGGCAAGCATTTTCACAAAAATTCCACGGTTGGCTGAAGATTCGACTCTAGTACACCCATCAGGACCGTCCGCCCAGGACGCTCTACATGCTCGAGCGACGCTCTACCTGGGCGAACGGGCTCACGAGGCCCTCGTGCGAATAAGTGAAGAGGTGCACCTTGAACGCCCTCAGGATCTCCTCCTCGTCGTCCTGACGCACCCACTTGGAGCACAGGGTCAACCACTCCTCGGGGCCGAGGTTCTTCTTGTCTCCTGGAAGCGAGAGAGGTAAATTTGACAAAGTGTAAGAAAATATTTAAACTTCAAACCTTCGGTACACGGTTTCAGTTACAGTTTCAACTTTGTGAAATTTTGTAGCATTGGAAGAAATGTTGTTTTACAATTAGTGCTGTGAACCTGTCACATACGTCGTACGAGTTTTTGTCGTGCGGTTTTCAATGAGGCTACGACATGACCGACCGTTAAAAGTCCGTTGGATTTTGAGGACATTTTCACGACCGATCCAAGAATGTCGTAAACCTGTCGTATACGACGTTCGTGACTAAATCCTAACGGAAGGCACGACGTTATCCCGACAAAGATTTTTTTACCCTTGGGCCCCCGGGCCTCCTTCATGATGGCTTCCGTCTCCCTCTTGGTGTAGGTCTGGCCCAGCTTGGTCAGCATGTCCATGGTGTCTGAAACGGGCGCGATGTTCTCTGCGTTCCTGTCGAAGATGTCGAAGATCTTCATGCACTCTGAAACGTAAAGAAACGACAGAACGTCAGCCGTGACTATATGGGACAATACTCTACGTTTGGACCCCACATCTTTAAACACTGCTGCAAAGTACATGCTTCCTCTTTGTAAATTTGATGTGTATATCAAGGAGGTTAAACCTCCCCGGTATATCTAATATGTTTTCCGTTCTTCCCTTGATTGACGTGTTTTCAAAATGCCCTTAACTACCAAGGAGAGAAGGCATCATGGGACACCCAGGTGCATCATGGTCCGGGTCAAGTTTGTTTTGCTTTGATGTGCTGCACATGTGGAGTTCATGACCAACGCTCGCGGGCACAAATTAAAGTCATTTCTTGACTGACTTGTTTTCTTAGACATTATTGACTCAAGCCGAACAAGGAAATAATTCTAGTCGCCCTTCATCTTGCTAATTGCAACCTATTCTCTTAAGTTCAATTGGATTTGAGAGATGTATAGATGTGTGCTTAAATGTTGCGTAAATACCATTTGGCTTTTGTCAAGGCCTTTTGCTTTTATACCCAATAATGCGCTTCGTTAGGTCTGTCAAAAAACGTGCTGTGACGCCAGCATGGTAGACGTTACAACGTTTCTGATTGGCTGACGGTGGCTAAGGACGTCATTGCTCGCGTCAGCGTGCCTTGTGTGTGTTTGTGACAAGGACAGTCA